ATGTTGTCCAAGGCGTCACGGAGGTTCTAGGAAAGAAAGCGTAGCTCAGCGGGAAACTCATCCCCATGCTTTGGAAGTGAGGTGAAATGTAAAGTATCTGCAGTTGTCCTTTCAAAGAATTTGTGCTGGTAACGAATGAAAAACATTTCCAAACAGAAGTCTTACATCGCTCATGATTATAGTGCCGTCTATAGCCAACTTCAGGTCACTCAGACTAGTGCGCACCACGGTGATTATTTTCTGCATTCGATCCACTTCCTGACGCAGAAAGATAATCATCGGGTTTAGAGCGCCCATCTTCTGCAACCTGGCTTTGACCTTCATTCAAGAAAATAACACGTCAGATTTTGTGGATTAAAGAACTAGTGCAATAACAAAAACTTAAAGATTAAACCTGACCTCATGTGGCACATAGTCGTCAGGCAATTTCTCCAACATGTCTTCTGCCATGTGGTAAACGATGGACTCACGAGTTGCACCTGAGCCTCCTCCACTTTCCTTCGGCTGAATGTTGGTGATCGTGTCCAACACTTCAGCGGACGTGTTTGCCTGATATCTATGAAATGTTTAAAATGCAGCAGAAATGTGACGCTAGCCACGTCCAGACGTCAGGGTTTCTTGCTCTTAATGGCGACGGCGCTTCACACGAATTCAGCATCTTACGTGATATCGGCATTAGAATGCAGGCCCAACGCTTCGGGTGCGTCAAGAGGAGGTAAGCTCTGGATGTAAGTCATGTACTCCTCAACTGTCTCACAAACAGGAATTCTGTAGCCCGTGTAGAAGACGAATGATGGGTCTAGCATCTTCTTACTGAACCACACCTGTAGTTAAAAGCATATAGTCTCACGTATTTCGTAAATGTTACTGTAGTGGACATGTAGGAACTAATTAAGACAAGACTGGGAGTAGTACACGAGCAAAACACTTCAGCAGGCGTTTATCGTAGTCGTCTGTGACCCTTCCTCCGTATTGTACTTCAGCTAGCATGTATCGCACGGTTACCCATGAGACATCCTGCGGAGGGAAAAAAGGACAAACTAAAGAATTCGGCAGAGACCTTCAGACGTTTGGACCGTTTCTGAAACACCCTCACCTGCTTGGGCCCACAATCATCCAAGTGTCTCTCAACAAACTCCACACTTGCAGAGAAGTCGGCCGAGTTGAACTCGTAAGGTATGTTCCAACCCAAAGGTCCAAATTTGCGTCGTTCCTGTGACAAACCCCCCACACCCCCAACATCTTTAAATTGCCCTCACTGACTAGAACGTCAAAGAAAATCAGAAACTGCATACATTTTTTTTTTTTTAATCTTAGATGTTAAATGTTTTTTTTTTTTTTTTTAGAAATCAAAGCTTTAAATTTTACTGTAATACTAAAAAAATTAATGTCTTTTAATTT